ACACACACATATATATATATTGGTTTCTCCCGTCGTTTTCGACGTATGAGGGTCAAGCAGTTCAGTTCTTAGAACAAACGGCTACCATTATATGTATAATTTTGTATGTAGGCTTCAGAGTTTTTTCTTCAACATTATTACCAGTAATAAATACTTTTTGATAAAAAACAATTACAAGCTATTACTACTGTTTATATTTTGAGTAGTAGATATATATTTAAGATATATATTCGAGTATAATATTGTACTGTCTTTATATAATAACGATCTTCTTTTCAGGACCAGAGAACGTGAAGGGGGGATATTCTTGGTAACCACGTCAATGTTGACACACGTAGTTATTCCTAACGTCAAACGGCTACAATCTCTGGCTTCTGAAGACTGGTCATGAAAACGTTAAGCTGTATACAAGAAAATGTTCACCCTATGAAAAATGTCATTTGTCAATATCTGTCCTTGGTGGCAAAAGCTTTGAAAATGTCACCAATAACACAGACCTCTCCTTCCTCGCAGTCGACACTCCTTCTTTAAAGACAAACATTAATTTGTTTACATTTCAGATTAACTCCACGTCTGAAACAAAAGACACGTTTTCTTGTAATTTCATTATCGACTCCAAAAAAACAATTCTTAAAACTAAGACAACATAGGACATTTATTTAAAACTGGCGTGTCGTATCATAAAATGGCATCCGGTTAATTAGTCGCCCACCATTTTGTCGTGAGATCAATTTGTCGATAGGAAAATTCGTCACCGTGAAAGGAAAAGGCGAGGGTTGGGGACTAATTTTATTCAACTACAAGAAATATTCAAAATTAGAAGAAGAAAAAAAGAAGTTTAATACACCATATATCGAACTATTAGAATTTAAGATTTTGTTCACCCCCACTTTTTATTGATACTATTTTCCTCATGTTTGTTGTTGTTTTCACAACATTTCGGCCGCTGTGCCCTCCGGCCTTCCCCAGGTGTATATCAATCTGAGTAACTGATAGGGAATTCTAAAATGAACACTTTATTTAATCAACTGAGTAGACTGTTCTTCTTCCATTGGCCATCTCGACTAATTTTAATATTTTAGTGCTACTTATTTATTGCTTGCCCGTTTCCTCTAAGCCTAAGTACACACCTAAGTACACGACTAAGTACACACCTAAGTGGAAATAACCTAGTGAATTAAAGCGTTCGTTAGTTAATTTGGTAGCATAGTGATATTGTGTTCAATCCCTGGGTCGGGCAGTGTGTATTTGAACTCAGTGAAAATAGAGTAAGCAATAACTAAGCAGTATTAGATTTAAGAATTAGACGAGATATCCTTTGATACGGGGAGTGGAACGAGAAAAGCTTATCCGTACAAATTAAATAATGTGTTCAGTTCAGAATTTCATGTAGTTTACCCAAACCGATATGCACCTGAAAAAGTCCGGAGAGCACAACGGCCGAAACGTTGTGATAACAACAATAAAGACGATGACAATTATCCGTACATAAATAGTGTAAATGATGATAAATTCTCCTCCCTGCTATTAGGTATAATTCTCCTCTGGAATACACGACTACAGCATCCACCCCGTTTGGTGTCTGTGGTAAGAAGATATTTTTACGGTGAGCAATTTTCAGCCCTACGCCCAACCTTAACCGATTTTGAAAGTAGAGTTGTCATTCTCCTAGACGGGTTGCCAACCACGGCAAAGGATCACAGTTTGTTTTGCTATTTAGTCAATATTTGAGGGGCGAAATAAGATGGATCGATACCTTTCTCAATGGTATTTTTGCGAACACACAACGACCTTGGCCTGGATTTGTAACCAACCAAGAAGATTCTATTTTCCGGGCCAATAGCTGATACGCACCTCCTGGATGGGCTGCAATGGCATTTAAGAAAATCCTACGCATGTAAGATTGCATATATATATATAAATATATACACATGCATGTAAGTATATATGAATGTATGTATATATGTGTGTGGAATATATATATATATATATATATATATATATATATATATATATATATATATATATGTATATATATGTATATAAAAATAAAAAATCATGAATTAAAATCGCACAATACTAAACAGTCCTAATACACACACACACACACACACACATATATATATATATATATATATATATATATATATATATATATATATAAACAAAGCAAAAAGCCAAACTCTATTCAAGTATCAAGTCAGGAAGTGATAAGCTAGGGTAATTAATATGTCTAAGATACTTATCTTCAGAGATTCCATGACATTTTCCTAACACATAGTTTTGGCTTTCTTTTAATCAAACTGAAGATGCTAAAGAGAACACGCGTCTTTGATATAAAAATTTCCACTCTGTCTCATCACACGGTTAACATCCTTCAGACACCCATATTTTCTCTTTGCGTTCTTTCTTTTCTTTAAATAAATTAATTGCAAGTGACAGTGATCCTTGCTACTGTTGAAACCTGTTTATGCAAACCAACCTTCTTAAAGTCTTCGTATCTTTTATTTTTTATGAATTCTAGTCTTCTAGCATGCATATTTTTACACTTGCATCTCACGGGTAGATTCGGCTGTATTTTGTTTATTTTTGAGTATCTATCATTTCTTTAGTCAATATTTTTTCCTTTCGTTGAAATGCTGAACGTGTCAGTGGCCATGTTGATTCAAGTCAAGATGCATAAACCAATTATAGAAAAGAGACAAATGGGCCAATTGACGAACTGAACCCACGACAAATTATCTGTCGACCAATTGTCCTAACACCCATAAAATATATAATGCAATTTTCTTCTATCGAAACTTGACAATATAAAGGCGGAAAGAGACATACACGTATTATGACTTTCTTCACTGTGTCTTTCCATTGTGTCTTTCTGGTGTATTTCCATAAAGATGGCATTGAATATACAGATTGTGTAACGTAGATACACCCTTGTGCAAATTTATTGAAACAACCATTTTAGTTTCCTTTATTTCACCGTCAGTTTCAAACGCACTGAAGGTATGTATTCGATTTCTATTTTTTTTTTCTCCTCAGATTAGGTCATTTGCAGTAGTGTGCAATAATATGAATCTATTTTCGAGGTGTGTGATGAAATTTGTGTCATCCTCCACTTTCAGCAACAACAAACGTGCCAGACATTTTTCACTAATTTATATCAAAGTATATAAACATTGGAATACTTCTGTTTTTTTTTTTTTTTCAAAAATTGAATTTCTTAAGACTTCAACATTTTACAAAGATTATAATAATTTTTTCTCTGTCTATTTTATGGCGCTACATACATTAACGAATACAAGCTTCATTTAACGAAAGTTAACAATTTTAGGGTCCTCGGTGATTTTAAAACCAAGATGCCCAGTTTCGAAAGGATTTTTTTTTTTTTTATTTATGACTCTTGATTCCTTGAGGAACATAGGATCGCAAAAACATCTCTCCAGCGGACGGGGTTCTGAGTGATCCTCTTCAGCTCGGCCCATGTCAGGCCAGCTGCCTTCACCTCTGCGTCAACATTTCTGCGCCAAGTCTGTTTTGGTCGACCCATTTTTCGCTTCCCTTGTGGATTCCAGTCAAGGGTCTGCCTGATGACACTAGAAGCAAGATTACAGAGTGCGTGGCTGGTCTACCCCATTTCCGTTTCTTGATGTCAGTTTTGATTGGGGCTTGTCTGCTCCTGTCCCACAATTGGTCGTTGAAGACGACTTCCGGTCACCTGATACGGAGGATGTTCCTGAGACATCGGTCGGTAAATGCTTGACGTTTGTGGGTGTTGGTCTTGGTTATTTTTGTCCAGCATTCACTGCCATAAAAGAGGCCCTTTATTACGCAACAGTTCTGTACTCTTTTCTTTGTTTTTAACGAAATTTTCCTTTTTCTTAATACGTTGATTGTCACAGGTATTAGTCAAAATGTTCAGATGTTTAAAACTTTTATGGATAAAGTAATAGAAATATTCGAATATATTTCTTTTAAATAATTCAATAGGAGAAAACGTCATGTACAATTGAGTTTAAAAGCTGGAAAATTTTAGTTTGTTCTTTGCAAAGAGAAATTGATTCATGATCCTGATTTATGTTTTGGCTTTATGCTTTCATATAACCAGTGACTGAATATAAAACTGTTCTTGTTTTATATTCGACATTATGAAGCATGTTGAATGAATGACATATAAAGTGTGGAGGTTTACATCCAATAATAATAACTTTTGACGTTAGAGCTAGTGGGAGTTATTTTGCCAATATTGTTTTATTTCGTGACGCTCTTCATGGAACACACCTGTCGCAGACAAACACACTCACACTCACATACTCGCACGCATACACACGCACATACATACACGTTCACACACATATATGCACACACACATACACGCACGAATAGATACATAAACGCACATACCTGCACAAAAACATATACAGGCGCGCGAGCACACACACACGCACGTACGAATATGCACATACACAGACGTACATGCACGTGTGTGTGTGTGTGTATATATATATATATATATATATATATATATATATATAATTGTATTTATTAAAAAAAAAAATATGATTCCTTCGCTACATAAGAGTTCTCATGTTTCAGAAACAAGAGCCAAAAACTTCCATATATTTATTAAATTTAAATTGAATTAAAGTATCAAGTTCTGTTTCATCCTCAGGCGAAATTTTGGGAATAACTAATTTTGAAATTTACTTTTGTATTGAGCACTGTTTTTAAAAAATAAAAACAGAAATATTAAAGAACTTCGGATTATTTAGCTAACGGATTCTTTCGTATTTTCTATATACACACACACACACACACACACACACACACACACACACACACACACACACATATATATATGTATTTGTGTGTGTATATATATATATATATATATACATAAACACGAATACATACATACATACATACATACATACATACATACACACACATACACGAACACATATACACGCACATGGATGCTCATACATGTACACAAATGTGACTTGCGGCCATATTACGTTGAAACACCGGTTCCCGTACGATTGCTGAAGTTAAGCAAAGTCGATCCTAGTCAGTACCTAGAAGGGTAACCGCTTGGGAATAACACCTGCTATAAGCTTGGAACATGCGAATGGCATAATGTGTAATGAATAATAGCTCGAAATTGCTAATCGGGGAGCCGAATTTCAGTTCCAGTCGGGTTCGTTATATTCAATTACGCGTAAATCCCCTTGCGAAAGATATGAATCCACCTTTTCTCTCCTTAGCTATAGGTTAATTAGCAAGTCTTGTATCACTAAATCATTATTATCTCCAAAAGAAAAAAAAGGAAAACGAAAAATTATAACAATCTAAAAATATTTTCTGACTTTAAATAACCTAGAAAAGCATGATAAATCGTAAAAAACAAACCAATCAATCAAAAACACATACACACAAATGTACAATTACATTACAATTACATTGTACATTACAATTACATTACCCCAGACAAATAACTACCTATTTAATTTAAAGACGAAAGAAAGAAAAAGATATATCAGCGACGCTGTTTGGATTTAGTGAGAAAAAATGGCATTCATGATATAAAGAAAGCGATAAAGAAAAAAAATAAATAAAGAAAGAATGAAATAGAAGATACAGAAGGCGATAATGTTCTCATGCGTTTAACGTCTGCTTCAGTGAAATATTTGTCAATTTGAATCTTTTCATGAATTTTTATCAGTGCCTTGGATAATACTAAGTAAGCAAAGGATGAGTATATCACGTGACCAAGGTAATTTCTTCAAAAGAATTTATCCAAATGAAGAAGTAAAGGCTACTTAAATCTTCTACTAAATAATTATGTCAATACGCTAATGCACAATAAGGTGCTGAAAAGTTCTAGGCCCAAAAAAGAATTTTAAAAAATTCTGATATTTCATCAGTTGATCAAGTTTTTGGTTGTAGGCTGGGACGAGAACTTTTCAGCATACTCTCGAAGAGTGTAAATTTCAAATATTGATTGAAATGTATAATCCGTTTATTTAGATATAGAAGCGAGAAATCCGATTAAAAAAAAAACAAAAAAAAAATAGATTATCTGAGCGCGTGGTTTTACGCAAATTTTTAAAATATTTTAAAATTAAAACAAAAATATTCAAATACATCACGTGACCATTTCCAAAAAGCAGAAACAACAAAAATTGGGTAACACATATTCACTAGAAGGGGAAACAATCAAGATTCTGACATTCCACACAACCTTGGACAAAAGGTTTGGAAAGAAACTCCCATCAATATTAGAATAATAGTTAATGGATTGAGAAGTCTTATTTCATGAAAGACTTTAATTTATTCAAACTATTTTTCTTCTCTAATTATTATAGATGTTATTATAAACACAACGTTTCGGCCAAGTACACTTGCCATCTTCAGGTGTCCATTGTTTTAGCTTATATGGGGTATCTGTTGATTATTGTGCTACTTATGTCTCTGTAATATCAGTTATTGTCCGTTCAGGTTGATCCAATGTTTCACTATCTCCTCCAGGGACAACTGACAACCACTAGATAACAGTAAATCTTGTTTAATCAGGTCCTATATCCACTGCGGCATCAATACTGGTACAGTATTTACCCCTTATTTGCCTGATTTCTTGTGTTGTGCTGATTGGTTTATACAATTTAATGGAACTATTATCGTATAAAAGCCAAGTCAATCGGCAGGATATAGTAGTGGTTGCATAACAATCAATGTCTCTGTTGTTTTAATTTTTATTGTTATTAGAGATTTTCCAGGTGGGCACACGAATTCGTAGAACTTTGTTGTCGGTTTGATTTTGTTGATGCATTGTTGGCGGTGATCATGTCACAGGGGTTTAGTTTTTGCAGTAAGTGATGAATTTAATATGTTCTTGCGGGTAGGCTATATGTATCTGTCTATTGGGTTTCTAATTATTTTTCGTTTACTTTTTATTGTGGAGTTGGTTTCAGCATAATATTTTAACTGTGTTTTTATTTGTGCACTTATTATTGTGGGGGTCGATTTCAGCATAATATTTTAATTGTGTTTTTATTCATATATTTTTTATTATTGTGGGGGTCGATTTTAGCATAATATTTTAACTGTGTTTTTATTTATACACTTTTTATTATTGTGGGGTCGGTTTCAGCAAAATATTTTAACTGTGCTTTTATTTATATAATTTTTATTATTGTTAGTTCTTATTTTTTCTAAGGTTTAATTATTTTATTTGTTATCTAGGTTAATTATAATTGGTTATGGAATACTGTGCATATAATGATATAAATAGACTCTACTCAGTAATTTATTATAGTCCCTATTTTGTATCGATGTGGAGATTCGCTTTTTTTTAATAATTTCATCTCAAGCAAGGTGATAATGATACTAAGACGTAAGGAAGTACTGAGAGTGAAAGTGAATGAGAAAACTTTAGTGACGAGAAAGGTCAATAAAAGAACGGGTTTCAGGAAGACATAAGATGGCGAATGATGTTGCATTTAAATTTTTGAAGATCGTAAGGAGCAAGGAAACACTACCGGAGGATTTCCACTAGCGAGAAAAGAAACTATTAGAATAGAACTGAAGGTTAGAATTATTTCAACAGTAAAATGATGGGACCTAAAAGCCAATCTAGTAATAGGTTTAAATTCTTGCGGCCGATGTGCTAAGGAAGAAAGCTCATTAGAACGATTGTCATAAAAATATTTATAGAAAAGACAGGGCGAAACCACATCACGTCGGTGGGAAAATAACTGAAGCCGAGATACCATGTCAAGACCGATAATATTACAGAGCCTTCTTTCGATTTTGACAAGAATCTCGACATATATGTATAGCGAGAGCATCAAACCAGATGTTGCAGCAGTATTCCATGCACGGACAAATGCTAGATTTATAAATGTGCTAGATAAATTATGTCAAGAACTGTTTTCCTATCTGCAGGACTAGCAATTTATTCAATATAATCATCGCACTTTAGTGGAAAACATAATACAAACAAGGCGAATTGAGTTATCCTCCTGGTGTTTAACATCGGTACGGCATCACTTTTCTTCCGCGGCTGTTGCAGAGTTACTGGAGAGTTAAAAACTCTGAAAGAATCAACTCATATACGAGGTTATGAGGATCTGCTTAGTAGGCCTAGCATAGAGAGAAATACGATATGGGAGTCGTTAATAAAGAAAGAACCATAAATGACAGTAAGACTTCAACAACAGCCACCGCAGTAGGAAAGAACTTAATCATAAACAAATCAATCAATAATGCACTGATAGTCTACGGCATTTGAGTAAATATTACCTTTCTCCTTTGTGTCAGTTTATGGCCACATCATGTTCAAATACCTATTCCCGTACTATCACCGAAGTTAAGCAACGTCGAGCCTGGTCAGTACCTAGATGGGTGACCGCTTGGGAATACCAGGTGCTGTAAGCTTTGGATGTGCGGATGGGTCGGGATTGTTAGTCGGATAGCAGAGTTCAAATTCCATTTGAGATTGTTAGATTCACATACGCGCAAATAACCTTGGGAAAGGTATAGATTCATTTCTTATGCACCCAGCTATGGGTTAAATAGAAAAACTTGTATCACTAAATCAAAATTATCTAAAAAAATTCTTATAATCTAAAAATATTTTCTGGATTTAAATAATCTGCAAACGGTTGATAAGCTGTTGGAAACAAATCAGTCATTTGTGTCAAAGGCAAGTGATGTCCTAAATAGCCATGCCCGTTGGGATTTTTCACAAAATATGCATGCTGGTTTAAATAATATTTTGTGAAATTTTCTCAAAATATTTCTGCTGATTCAAATAATGTTTGGAAATATTTTACAAGTATGTCTACCGATTCAAATTATATTTCTTAAAATTTTTATGTAATTTTTCATAAAATATGTTTGCCAGTTCAATAACTTTTTAATGAAATTTTTCATAAAATATAAAATATGTCTGCCGGTTCTAATAATTTTCTAATGAAATTTTTCATAAAATATGTCTGTCGATTCAAATAATTTTTTTTATGGAATTTTTCCTAAAATATGTCTGCTGGCTTAAATCAGGTTTCAGCTGGAATGCTTTTTTTTTTTTTTTTTTTTTAATATGTTTAAAAACGCAGTACAACATTCGTTACTTATTTTTCGAAAAATAATAAACATGTCGTAGAAAACCAGTACCTTTTAGGGTTGGAGAGGAGCGGAATTGAAGAAAATAGTTTAATCATGGCGGCACTTGTATTTTTTAGGCAAGAGTATATAAAGGTTATATGACTGACGTATACAACCCTATGAGGTTGGGTTGAGTATTATGTTCTTGAATCAGATAACAATTCCAAGATTCATATCGTATCCTCTGTCGACTCAGCTAAATATGCAAGTATTTTATTATTTTATTTTTTTCTTAGCCTTGCTGACATCAATAGAAGAGATAACCTTGAGATGATATTAAAGTCATTCAAATCACCGGCTGGGAGTTCAGTTATTGACCCCGGCTAAGACATTACACCTTCCCCCACATTCACTACATTCTCTCCCTCAACTATTTTTTCATTCACCTACATTCATCGGGTTCCACGCATCAATTATTGATATGAATTAATTTTCAGAATAAATACCAAGAAATTGAAATTAGAGCCCACGGTCATTTCAATCAGGAAAAAAAAAGAGAGAGAGAGAGAGAGAGAGAGAGAGAGAGAGAGAGGGGAGAGAGAGAGAGTGTGTGTGTGAGAGAGAGAGAGAGAGAAAGAGAGAAAGAGAGATGTAATATTGATTGGAAGAGAAAGAAAAAGACAGAGACGGGGTAACAGTGAAAGGAATTGAGAAATACATAGAAGTAAAAAGAGAGAGAGAGAGAGAGAGAGAGAGAGAGTAATAATGAGAGGAAGAGAGAACGAGAGATGGATGGAAAGAGAGAGAGGGAGGAGGAGTAATAGTGATTGGAAGAGAATTAAATAGAGAAAATGAAAAAGAGATAGAAAGAGGGAGTAATCATGGAAGGGATTGAGACAAAAACAGAGAAGGAAAAAGAGATAGCGGAGTAATAATGAGAGGAGGAGAGAAAGAGAGAGATAAGAAAAGTTAGAGAGAGAGAGAGAGAGAGAGAGAGAGAGAGAGAGAGAGAGAGTGAGATTAATAGTGAGGGGAAGAAAGAGAGAAGAGAGGAAAGAGAAAGAGGAAAGTAAATGTGAGAGAGAAGGGGAGAGATGAGCTAGAGAAAGAAAAAGTAAGAGAAAGGCAGGATAGGATAGCAGGGACAAATATTTGACATACTGAAGATGAGAGTGAAAGAAAAAGAGATAGAGATAGAGAGAGGGGCAGGACGATGAGAAAAGTGAGAGAAGACGAAAGTGAGAAATTGATAAAAAGAGAAGAAAAGCACTTCTGAGAAATAAAAGAGAGAGAGAGAGAGAGAGAGAGAGAGAGAGAGAGAGAGAGAAAGAGAGAGAGGAGGGAAGGAAAAAACGTAAATGATAATCTTAAACGAGTAATGGTTAAAGAGATGAGGCGACACCAAATCCAATTTACAAGATAAAGTGGGTCAAGTATATATCCGTTATATACAAAATATTTATTATTTCATCAAACAAATACACGAAAATTTGCCACAGAAATATCAAATATTGAAAATCTTATTACAGGTACAAAATTTAATTATAGTTAAAAAAGAAAAAAAAAACAGTTATAATTAAAAAGGATAAAAACGGAAAGAATCTACGATATTTTGCAATATGAAATTAGAAAAAAATATAAAGAAAACAACAGAATGTGCTAACCGGCTATCATTTCTAATTCATCAGAACTCGATCAAGTAAGTAACATTTTTGAGGTCAACCGACTCAAAAAGAAAATACGGGCGGATCAATAGATATATAAAAACGGGGATATGTTTTATAGATAAAATCTCTGTTTAAAGCATATTGTAACTAACATATCAAAACCTTTGAAACTATTTTCATTAAATCAAGACAACTGTGCTTACAATATCAAATGGTACGGTTGTTAATGTAATTCATTTATAAAAATAAAACTCAATATTTTTGTATTGCCAACTACAAGCGTAGTTGATTACTCCTTTTGTCACTATTAATTATGTTCAGATTTCTTTTTTCGCTATAACTTAGGACCTCTAAAACTCTTTATGGTCAGAGATTGGTACCTGACGTCACTTCTGATCTAACACCAACTTCCTAGTGGGGAAAAATTGACTGGTTATATTCAATGCCTCGAAAACCAAACTAAATACATTCTATCGCCGTCGATCAGACCCCAAGCTACCGACAGTCATGAAGAACGGGTGTCCCCTCGAGGAGACACCGTGCCTTGAGAAAATATTGAGCCTCAAACTCACATTAGACCTAAAGTATAACTCTTTATTACTATCCATTGCTAAAGATGCAGGTAAAATGATCGGCTCACTGTACCGCTCCGGTAAGTACCTGACTCCTCATGCTATCCTCTACCATTATAAGAGCCAGATCAGACCGAAGATGGAATACTGTTGCCATATTTGGGCGGGAGCTACCCTGTCCTAACTTTCCAGTCTTGATTGAGTTCATAAGCGTTTTTGTCGGAGATTATTAATTTTCCACCCTGCAACCTCTCTCTCACAGGCGGGATGTAGCGAGTCTCTCATGGCTCTATCGCTACTTCTACAGAAAGTGCTCGGACGAACTACATTCATTAGTTCCACCAGGTCTAATCTAGGACCCGCCATGCCACTTATATAGTAGCAAACAATCGACATGTCCTCTGTATTCCATCCCCGAGAAGTAAATTCCACTCAAACAGCTTCTTCCCGCAAACCACTGCTCTATGGAACAGACTGCCAAGAGAATGTTTCCCCGATCACAACAATCTCAATCTATCATGTCTAGATGTAACCCTTATCTTCCCTCCTATCCGTATAAACTACCTCTTAACGTAAACGTCTACCTCGAGTGACCCTTGTGCCTTGTAAAGAGCTAAGATTACTGTAAGAAAAAAATTCTTTGAGAAATAAGAATTGGTGTGTGGGAGTGTCCGTAGCCTTTGGTTTAATCTGACAACACACACACACACACACATATATATATATATATATATATATATATATAAAGACATTTTTATGTTTATGCGTTCTTTTTATAGATACAAATATTTAAGTAAATGCTCTGTTTATAATAAACAGTATTCTGTGGACTGCACACATGAGCCAGTGGATAAAAATCCACTGACCTAAAGAGTTGTGAGTCCAATACTAAGCCACAGCAGTGGACCAAAACTTGGAGGGTTAAGCTAAAAGACATCCAGAAGAGGCATGGCAGATGGAACTAGAACAATCTACCCCAGTGGATGAAATAAAGAGTTCGGAATTCCAATCACCTGAAGAAGGTCGGAGCGTACTATGGAAAAGAAGATGAGGATAACAGTTCGAATAATATAAATAATGCAAGTAAACTTTCACCCATCGTGATGAATGGAGACCCCCGTGCATTGAGTCCCTTATTGGGACTTACACTCAAATAGAACTCATACGTATTGTTAAAGATGCTGGAGAACTGGTCGGTTCCCTGTACGGGTCTAGAAAGTATCTGACTCTTCCCGCTATCAGGCCAAAAATGAAGTACTGCTGTACAGTCTTCACTCCCCCCCTCTATCGATAGAGTCCCACTCCGCGATCTTGTAGGCGAAATATTATTTTCCATTGTGCAATCGATTTTATCATGGATGCAATATTCGCTCTATCGCTGTTTCCATGAACTACATTCCTGTGTTCCACCAGTTCCAAAAATTCATGGCTAAGACCTGCCCAAGCCATGGACATTCCTTTCATATCCTCCTGCTGAGATGTATGTTCCACTCAAGCAGCTTCTTTCCACGAACTGCTGCTTTGTGGAACTGAATCCCGATCACTACATTTTTAACCTGTTCAAATTTAGGGTTGTTACCTTCCGTATATATCCGCATAAGATGTACCTCTTACGCTGTAATTCTCTATCTTGAGTAGCCTTGTAGAAGGTGAACTCCACTATAAAAACATAACTTGGTTCTGTACAGAAATCAGAATTGGAAAAAGAAGTGCCGATGGTAAATGAAGAAGAAGGCGCAACCCCAAGAAAGATTTCAAAATATGGCCACGTGATTAAAAAGCAATCAAGAATAACTGTGGAAAATGTGATGAGCTGAACGCGACCAAAACAGTAGTAACTTGCCTGCAAATATATTATGCTTTACAGCAGGTGTCATTAGAAAAATGCTAGCCTTATCTAGAAATATAAATGAAAAAAAAAGGCATGCATTAATTGGCTTTATCCAATATTTTAAGATTAATATTATTGTCCATCATTTAAATATACAATCTCCCGCCATAAAACTCATATGCTATTCGTGTACTATAAATAACACTGGACAACACGATTTTTGGTGCCAAGAAACAAAACACATTTTTTTAGTTAATTTGATGGTGCTAATTCCGAATGTGACTTTAGTTTTTCATGGTTAGCTACCATTTTTGTTGTACTGAAATTGATAATTTTTGATTAAAAGATCAATTTATGATCTAATCTGATCGCAAAATGTAGTTAATAAAGGTCACAGAAACCCATCAATTTTCAGGTAGGCCGAGCATTTCAGCCACCTGAAATAAACTATTTTTATAATAAAAAAGTGTTTTTGAGTCAACAATTATAAAATAGAAGTACCGAATTTTCCCAAATCTTCGCCAAAATTCAAATTTATCTGTAATACACTTAAGTAAACCTGATAATTAAGGTGAAATATATTTACCAAAATTACACAAAAATATCTTGAAATAAGAAAGAGTCGATTTATTCAATAAAATCGCCATTGGCTTCAATCATGGACTCAAGACGCGGAAACTCCCGCAACTCGTCTGGATGGCCTACTTGTTTAAGTTGGTGAATGCTGCCATAATCCTTACCTTCAGTTCTTGGATTTACAAGGAGTTTTGTTGGTCTTTCGCTCAATTGCGCCCCACACATAATAATCAAGGAGATTGCAGTCTGGGGTGTTAGGTAGCCAGATTTAAGGGGTTATGTAGCAGCAGAAATTGTCTGACAGCTATGACTGGGTTCTCCTGCTTGTGTGGCATGTGCAGGGTCCTGTTGCCAGAAATATGGTCTTGACCCAGGCAAGAAGTACCTTCTCAAATTACTTAATGTAGGGCTCCGTATTGAATCTGAGTACTTCAACAAATTCGGAATTTATTTTCTTATTAGAACGATCAAAGTGAGTTTTCGGAGCTGCTGTACCTTCGTAATCACCATTAGACTCATCCAACTCTTTTCGAATCCTATGCACTGTCTTTAGATTGACACCCAAACACTCTGAAATGTTCGTATTGGGGCTTTGGGTGTGAATGCAAAGCAGTACAGCATCTCGTTTCCAAATCTCTGGCGGATTGAACTGCATCATGGTGCTCTTTTTCTAAAAAGACGGTGCCTAACTGACCCTACTATATTGTGCAATCGTCAAAATCAAGTCCAAACAACGTGCATGCGCGCAATTAAAAAATATAAAATGGCGACAATTTACCACTCGTACCCTGTATATATCACATATGTCATATATGTCGCATATGCCATATATGTCATTTGTCTATATGGAATCTCTTGTCGTGGATAGACGCGGGCCGTTAACCCGCGCCTGCCGAGTACCCAAAATCACGGTTAGGCAGCGGAATAAAGCGAGAACTTCCCGCCAGACCGTTTTTTTTTCTCGCCGCGACACATTTGCCTACGACATATGAGGGTCAGGCCACTCATTTTCTGGGAACCGACCGCCAGACTACCTCCACGTATAATTTGATTATCGTAGTGAAGGTTTTATGTAGAACCAGTCAGACATTTTGAAGAGCCGAATTCAGAGACTTGGTTCACCGTGTGCCATAAAGGTGCCCAAACGACCTTCCTCAGGTTTTGAATTCAGAGTTGTCCTTCTCCTAGACTAGTTGCCATCCAGAACCCTGTCTGTTCTGCTATTTACTCATATCTGGGGGAGAAGAATATGATTCAGACCTTTCCCAAGGGTAATAGCAAGTGAATGCCATGGATTCGACTGTAATTCGAACACAGCTGTCCGATTTTTCGATCAATAATCCGCCGTGCCTCCTCATGTATATAACTATATATGTCATATGTAATATATCATTCATAATGTGTCTATGTGTCATATGTGAAACGAAATAATGTATTTAATCGCCACGTATTGAAAAACCATTCGTTCAACATTACAATTTGTTATTTACAAAATCATCAAGAAATCAATGATTAATGAAGAACATTTGCTGTCTTTTCAAACACTGGAACTTTTTTGAAATCCTCGCAGTATTTAGTATTGTTGAAGTTATCGCTAACATTGTCAGGACTTACAAACTCTACGTTTCGGCCAGTTTCGCAAACCAATCAGTGAAAGTTAAATAAGCTGATTTATTTGGGAAAATACTTTGATAAGAAACCTACTTCACGGTTTAATAACTTCTTTAATTTTATTTTATAAGACTATCTATCTATCTATCTATCTATCTATCTATCTATCTATCTATCTATCTATCTCATTCTGTTCATTATCTATCTATCTATCTATCTATCTATCTATCTATCTATCTATCTATCTATCTATCTATTCTGTTCATTATCTATCTGTTCATTATCTATCTATCTATCTATCTATCTATCTATCTTACATTATCTATATATATATATATATATATATATATATATATATATATATATATATATATAATGTATGATTACATGAGGAAGAAGTAGTGAATCCTTTATAAATTTGACATGTTTCTTTATTTGGTTTCATCAGAAATATTGGAAATACAATAATGTGTAATTGTTTCAATTTTGAATTCTGTATTGCCTTTTTTCCATTGGTTGTGTAGGCATCACGTGTTCATCGAAACATTCCTGTTACATAATTTCTGATGACACTAAATAAATAGTGAAACATGTGAAATATATAAAGATTTACCGACTTGTTCCTTATTTAGTCCTTTTGTGCAATTTAATCCACTAGAATTCTTTTGTAACACGTTACCACGCCTTGAAATCCTCACAGTGTTTACTATTGTTGAAGTTACCGCTAACATTTTTTGTCAAGATTTACAAACTCTATTTCGTTCAATTTCGCAACCCATTCAATGAAATTTGAATAAGCTGACTTGTTTGGAAAAATACTTTGACAAAAAACCTAATTCGCGGCTTAATAATTCCTTTAATTTAATTTTATAGGATTTCAAAGTAAACAATATTTATTTAAAAAAAAAATGAATTTTTTTAACAGCGAAGAACAAATTCTGATTTCTTACTCTTGAGCGTGCAACATACAACAGGCCATACGTAAATATTCTTTTCTGGAGCCAAATTCCAACTATTTGAAATTTTTGGGCTTATTATTTGTTTATAGTCCTCGCAAACGCTGGTTAAATTGGAAACTGGATTCTTGTATATACAGAAACTTAAAGAAAATTTATGCAAAATAACAGTATTGTATTTTTATTAAATAAGTATTTATTCTAATAATTAAATTGTATTTTTTTTAATGTTAATAATAAAACTTTTAACTTTTCCAAAAAATAATAAATGAAAATTTATTGTACTAAGCTACGCACCGTAGTAAAACCAATTGTATTATGTACTCCCTTACCGGTTTGCACTTCTTCCTAAAATTTGATTTCGATTTGTCAATGTATAGCTATTTTAGAGAGTGACCGACGGACTAATGAAACTGACAGAATTTTATATATAGATTAGTAGCATTCGAGCGATTATCACTATTTCAAATTTGACGCGTACATTAGGTCGTCAACTCAAAACGAAACTATGTCTTTTTACAGTTTCATCCTTGTTGGTAAGTCGTAATAGTAAATCTCCCTCACTAAATAAATGTCATTTTAAGATATACGACATTTATCACCGATTAAATAACAGGTTGAAGCGATTATTTACTTATCGAATTTGATTCGTTGTCATTTCCCGCTGCTGATTAAAATGATATTCATTCTACGCTTTTTTATGCATCAAAGACATTTTTGTCACTGAGACAATATACTTACCGTACAGGCGATGTAAACGCTAACATTTCGCTTGATGAATTTCCAGGCGGGAAGACTTTCCTCATTTTTCATTTTGTCCTTCAGCCAGAGTGAATTTAGTATTATAAAAACGCCTTGTCAAAAAGAAAAGTTTCATCTCGCAAACATTGATGACTGTTGGAAATTTCGATTACCATTGGTTATCTAAAACTTGACAGTGATCACTCATGAAAAGAAATCGATTTTCTTAATGATTAATCCGATCTGTAGAATCGTTTGGGTTTATAATGTAAATAAAGCTGTAAATCATTAAAATTATCTTTGAACACTGAGGTTCTTTTAGCCACGTGACGCAAAAATCGATAGCATGTGAACCGAAGTTTATTTCAAATCCAGCATCATTAACAACATCAACAGTAAACTGTCTGCCTATCGAGTTTCAATCTCCTTTTGTTAATAACGATCAACGATGGTAGAACGCATTCGGAACATTACACACGACTTTGGCAACTTTCGTTTTAAGTTTTCATCCGACATCAAATTATTCGACATCGGGAGTGACCCACCAAAAGTTTTAACAGACATTCTTTGTCGGTCTTATTTCATAGAACATATTCAAAGACATACAAAAAATTCGTAAAGAATATAAAGCCAATCTAGACTTATATGAATTAAACTGTAAAATTCAAACGTAAGAACAAAATGTCTCTTACGAAAAAAACAAGAATGTAAATAATTTTAATGACTCGAAATCCCTGTTTATGTAGAAAATCTCAATAAAAAATAAATTACACTATTTACATTGTTCGAACTATCGTCCTCATCTTTTTTGCCATATTTATCACAACGTTTCAGCCGTTGTACGCTCTTCAGGTGGCTGGAATGTCAAACTGAACCCTTTATTTCGCTCACTGAGGTAGACTGTTCTAGTTCCACATGCCATGTCTAATGGATGCCAGTTATCAGTTATCTCCTGTTAATTCCCCTCTCAAAGTTCTCCACTGCCTTAACCAGGTATTGAACTCACACTCTTTGGGTCCCGTCACTGGATCTAACTAACGCCTTTATCCACTGTGCCATGTGTCCTTGAGGGTTCAGTTCGACATTCCAACCAGCTGAAGAAGGCCGAAACTTTGTGATAAATATGGCAACAAAAATGAGGACGATAGTCCGAACAATGTAAATAGTGTTTATAATACTTCATCTCAGAAATATTGACAAAAGACAAATTAATTTTCATTTAGATTATACAAAAAATTGTATATAATACAATTCTTTAAGTAACACTAATATGACTATTGACAATACTAATCAT